TCAGGATCTGAATTTTATCTCCTCTAGGCTTTTCTATGAGAACTACCTGGATGTCCTATCTCCATAATCTACCAACCTTAGCCTGTCTGGCACTTTTGAATAGATACTATTTCCAGTAGTAGAGGTACTCAATTGTCTACCAAAACAACTAGCAGTTTGTAGCAGTTCCTTCTAAACCAGGTTAGGCATAAAATACTGCTATTTGTACTTGCTTTCTTACAACTTTTTTAGGAAAATAAGCTGTTTAGCAGTTAATTTCTTACAAGGACACCCTGTAAAATGTTGCTTCGACATAATCTTTAATTATATCATTTTTATGTTGGGCAGTTAAGTGGTGCAGTAGATAGAGAACTGGACCTGGGGTCAGGAAGACTCAAGCTCAAATCTAGTCTCAGACACTTAATGCTGTGTGACTTTGGTCAAGTCATTTAACCCCCTTTTCTCCTTCTGTTTCCTCAGCTGTAATGGGGATCATGATAGCATCTGTCTCACAGGATTGTTGTGAGGATCTTAGAGATTTATAAATGCTAGTTATATTATAGAGAAAATCCACCATAGCACTGTGAAACGTCACTGTAGTTTTTGGGTAATTACTTGGACATTAGCGCTTTGGTCACCATCTTTAATGTTTTGCCTCAGGTAATGTTTTTATGAAACTAACCACCTTAGGTAGGATATGGCTGCATAACATTTTAATCTTATTTTGAAATTTTTGGAAAGTCATATTTGAAGAAACATTCTGTAGCAACCATATGCCAGTAAATCTACAGATATCTGGTATGTTTTACAATGCCTATTTTGTTTACACTCTGAACAGATTTGTTGTAAGGAAATTACTAATTTCTATTGAATATAAATTCATTTGAACAAATGGCATTTGCCCTCTACATGTAAGGTGCTATGCCTAGGCCCCAGAGATAATAAAACAAAAGCAAAGTAGTCAGCTGTACTCAAGGAGCTTTCTGGGGTGAGATTTACTTACAAAAAGCAAACGATACAGAATTTGAGGAGGGAGAACAACTGGGGGAATTTGGGAAGGCCAGATTCTCCAGAGAGTCATCTGATTTGAGCCGTGTAGGAAGGCAGGTATTCTATGATGGTAGGGAGGGAGTGTGGAAATGGAGGGAAGAAGTATAGCTAATCCCTTTCTGGGATTGACTTTTAAAAGAGGATGAGATGTAGAACATTTGAAGGAATGTGTAGGATATTTTAAGGATATTTTAGGTGGAAGGGTTAGAGCTAATGAATAAGAAGAGATTGAATAATATCACAGAATAGATGAGAAAGGGTATCATCTTTAGCACATGTAGAAAGATTACTCCATTTTCTGAGGAAGAGGGGGCATCAAATTTGAGAAAGAATGGGATTGATATTGAAGGGTTTTGAGGAATGAAATAGGGGAGAAGAAAACTTAAAACTGATGGACTTCTGTTTTTTTCCTCTACTAAAGCAGAAAGTGAGACTGAGTGGGAATATTGAGGAGGATAGTGTAGGGGCCTTGGGTTTTGATGATGATGATGCATAAACTAGGAAAAAGTTACAAGGATTGTTGTGTTTCTAGTAAGTGACCAGTTGGGATTTAATGACAAATTTGTATTGGACCCAGTCAGTTTTGTTATATGACTTTTGCCAGCAGCCTTCAAGAACACTATAGTCATTATTGTTTGTCCTTCATTTTCAAAGCGGACCAGTGACATCACAGGGTGATGTTTTGACTTCTACGTAAATTAGATTTGAGTGAGGCCGAGTTGCACAATGTCATTATAGCCTCACTCTGTTTTCCAGAGTCATCAAAGTCCAGTGGCAAGACAAAAGTCAGGATGACTGGCGATGGCCAAGGATGCAGTCAGTGGATGACCTTGGTGTCTTCAATGTCTGACTAAGCTCTAAGCACTCCACCTCCTGCTTCATGGCCATTGGAACAAATTTTTTCTCATCTGACCATTCCACCAGGGCAAGTTTACACATTTCACTCACCAATGAATTTGTTGCCTGTCAGTTACCCTGAACCCAATTCAGCCCATCTGCTGAGACAATTTACTGGAGTGTGGCTGCTGTTCATGCTACAGCTTCTTGGAGCCACAAGTGAGAGTTGTGGGCCAGGCAGATACCAAAGGTGGATGAACAGATCTGAAAAGAGCTTGGCAAGCCCTCACACCAGATGTGCTAGTTTTCCTTTAATATCCATACACTGTAGAGCATTATAGCAAAAGTGTGAAGAGGGTGATGGTAAGCCACCCAGTGTTGGGATTGGTGAAGTAGGAGTATCAGAACAAAAGAAATCAGTGGATTCAGTCACAGGGTAAAGGAAAAGAGAGCCCAGAGTGTAAGGAGTGACAAACTGAGAGAAAAGGGAATTAGGTTTACACGAAACAAGGTAGAGGGAAAAATGGAAATACAGGAATTTTTATAATCAGAGAGGAGTTACAGGGGAATTACAGAGGTTATTATAATTAGTGAGATCTAAAATGAGACTTTAAGCAAGGTTATGAGGGAGTTAGGGCTTCGGTGGAGGATAGAGTGCTAGCTAGGCCCTGGAGTCAGAAAGATTCGCTCTTCCTGAATTCAAATCATGCCTCAGGTACTTACTCCCTTTGTGACCCTGGGCAAGTCACTTAATCCTGTTTGCCTTAGTTTTGTTATCTATAAAATGAGCTATGGCAAACCATTTCAGTATCTTTGCCAAGAAAACCCCAAATAGGGTCATGAAGAGTCAGACATGATGGAAAAATCTGAACAACAATGTGAGGGAGTGAAGATTTGATCTTGGAAAGGTATTTCAGGAGAGATCAGCATATATAATGGTGAAATCCCTGGGTATGAAAGCAAGAATTTGAGTTTCACGAAGGCATTGACCTAGGTTGTGAAGTCTTTTTGAAAGGAAGGATATTATCCCCAGAGCTGTGACGAAGATCTGGACCAAGTAATATAGATGGATAGAATTAACCTTAAAGGAGGAGAAATTGCTTAGTGGTAGTGTGATAATCTATGACAGGAATTTTTAACCTGGAGTCCATGTGTGTGTTTTTTGTTTTGTTTTGTTTGTTTGTTAATGTTTTGATAAACTGTCTTTCAATATATTTAGTTTTACTTTGTAATCTATGTATTTTATTTTATGTGCATTTAAAAATATTATTATGATTCTTATTCAGTGAAATGCCAAAAGGATCCATTACACAAAAAAAGGTTAAGAATTTCTACTCTAAAGGTAACATTGAAGAGCAAGGGGTATACCTTGCTTGGGGGGAGGGGGCCAAAAGTGGGGGTGGGGCAGGAGGGCTTCATGGAGGGAAAGGGATGTACTATAGGGTCCCATCTTCCTGTCGATCGGTTAAGGAATATTTTAAAAGTGCCTGCTAAGTGCCTAGTTGTGTGAAGACTGGGAAGAGTGTGAAGTAAAAGATGTCAACAGTAGAGTGAGAGGGCATATGGAATGGAAGAGCAGGGAGTAAATAGCATGGGAGAGACATATATAAGAGAGTATGGTGAATATTGCAGGCGGAAAGTATTTTTGCCTGAGTAGATGATAACTGTTAATCATAGGGTTAAGGAAAGCTGACGCTGAATATTTGTCTTGAACAAGATGGAGAAGAACCAGTTCAACCATAGCTCTTAAGTTTCAGTGTCATAGGATTAAAAAGCATATTCTCTATCTTTTCTGTATAGTTTTCACTGTCAAATAAGGTTTTTTCCAGCATTTTTTTCAAGCCTGTAATATTTATCTTTCTGTTTGATTTATCATATTCCTTCAGTGGAATACTGAAATTTCTCATGATTTCTGTCTAAATCTACTAAGCTTTCCTTTAAAAGTTTAATTGTATATGCTTTTCCCCCGTTTTCAAAGGCATCTTTATAACTGATAAAATTCTCGCCACCTTTCTTCCAGCATATCTTTTGTTTTCGCATCTTTTTTTTCCACCAAACATCATCATTTTATAATAAAGGCAGGGGGGAAGTTTATTAACAAATCAGCTGAGACCAAAAATATATATAGTGTTTCACTACCATAGTTGCCCTTCTATGAGGGATATCCGTTCTCCTTTTGGTTCTTCAGGGCCAAACTTTTCTCTACAGGCCTTCTGATTTCAGTTTATTTTTGTGTTCTTTCCATTTATATTGTGTAACTGTGACACTGAAATAAATGAAATAAGTGAAATAGAACCAGGAATTGTTTATGTGGTTCTGTTTATTTCACTTTGCATCATTTCATAATTCTTTCTATGCTTATATCATTCATAATCAGCATTTTTTTTTACCATGCAGTAATTATGCATTTACACTTTTGTATCACAAAAACCACACCCAAAAAAAAGATAGACATTCCCCACTTGATGGACAGTTTATTTCTAGTTCTTGACCATTATTTTTTTTAAAAAGTACCTATGTAAATATTGTGGCATATATGGATGTTTCTAAAGTTGATTTCTTGGGGCATATACCAAACAATTATAGCACATGATTATAATGACATACACAGATACTTTCAAGTAGTAGTTTTGACAACATTACTATGGTTTTACAGTCTCTTGTAATGTCCTAAAAAGTGATTACATTGAGAAAATAACTGTGAAACAAAGAGGTATCATGTCAACAAATAAATTTTTGTATACAGCAGTGTTTCTGGTCTGGATATAGATATGTAGAATAGGATACTGTTTTTCCTGTTATCTGTGAATCAAATATATTGTGTAGTAAGAAGACAAACTCATGTGAAGAAATATAGGCAGTGGAGTATGGAAACATAGCAGATTTTTGTCTGTTGACCACTAAAAATAGAAGTGATATTGTTGTAGAGAGTACTAGGAAAAATCATAACCTAATGTGAAAGAAAAGGTATAGTAGTGATTGGAGGATTTAATCTCTCTGGACATTCTCTGGAGTTCTCTTTCTGAAAAAACAGAGTAGCTGATAAATTTGTGACTTAATGATAATTTAATCCTTCAAAAGGTAGAGGAAATGTCAAGATTAATTTATACTTTACATGCTTCTAATTAACACAGAGAAACTGGTTGCTGAACTGGAAAGGACAGGAACCTTGCGAGCTAATGACAACTACAAAATACTTTGTGATAGTGAAGGCAAATCAAGCCAGGTATTCTTTTACATACTGTCCTAGATCTTGAGAAAGTTGAATTCAGAAGATTCAGAGAAAGGATACTTAGGATCACATGGAGTGATATTTTTTTTTTTCAGGGAAAGTTGATCCAAGAAGAATGGGAAGCTTTCAAGAATAAAATTCTGAAGACAGAAGCAGAAATGATTTTGATGAGAGAGAATCTAAGGGGGGAACTTCTTAAAGAGTCTGATGTGACCATAAAGGGAACTCATCAACCAACTCAGATTTTTAAAAGACATATATTGAAGTTGTAAACAAGGGCAGGTAATTAAGAATGAATTCATAAATAGAGTCATTTTTACAACAGTAGTCAGTCAGTAAGCGTTTATTGTCTCCTATGTCCTAGGCACTATTCTAATCAATGGGGACACAAAGAAAGGTAAAAGACATCCCCTGCCTTGTGAATTATTATTCACAGGCCCTACGGAATAAGGAGGGGCTCTTACTGGGCTTCATCATGAATTGATCATTATTAAGGACCTGCTATGGGCTAGACTTAATTGTATTAAATGCTGGGGATACAAAGAAAGGTAAAAGACAGTCTTGACCTTGGAGGAACTCACAATCTAATTGGGGAGACAACAGGAAATAATTAACAAAAGGAAGGAACCAGAATTAAGAAGGATCTGGAAAAGCTTCATGTAGAAGATGAGATTTTAATCTAACTGGAACTTGACGAAAGCTGTGGAAACCAGGAGGCAGAAATGAGATTGGGGAGAGCATTCTCCAGGCATGAAAACATCCAGAGAAAAATGCCCAGAACCAAGAGATATATAGTGTCTTGTTTATGGAATAGTAAGGAGGCCAGTGTCACTGGATCAGAGAATACCTATATGTGGTAGAGACTGGAAAGGTAAAAGGGGAGATAAGTTATGAAGGGTTTTGAATGCCAAACAGGATTTATTTGATCCTGGAGATGGTAGGGAACTATTGGATTTTATTGGTGTAAGTGTATATATGTATGGGTATATGTGTGAGAAATGGTCAGACCTTCACTTTAGGAAAATTTGGTGACTGAGTGGAGGATGTATTGGAGTAGGGAGAGGCTTGTGGTAGGCAGACCTATCAGCTGGCTGTTGTGGTAGTACAGAAGTGAGATGATAAGGGTCTGTACTAGAGTGGTGGCATTATCAGAGGAGAGAAGAGGAGGGAGGGGGATATTTGAAAGATATTACAAAGTTGAAATTCATGGGACTTAACACGTTGGATGAGGGGGTGAGAAAAAATGAGCAGTTGAACCTATGGGTTTTAGGTACGATGGTGGCACCTTTGACAATTACAGGGAAGTTTGGCAGGAAAGAGGTTTTGGGAGGAAAGAGAATGAGTTAAGTTTGGGATATGTTGACTTTAAGATGTCTACTGGGCATCCAGTTCAAGATGGCTAATAGGGAGTTGGAGATGAAGAGACTGGAGGTCAGTAGAAGGGTTAGGGCTGGATAAGTAGATTTGAGAATCGTCAGTACAGTGTAGGTGACAACTGAATCCATGAGAGCTGATGAGATTGCAAAGTGAAGTAGCACAGAGGGAGAAAAGAAGAAGGCCCAGGATGGAAGCCTGTGGGATGCCTAGATTTACGGAGAGATTTAGTGAGATGTAGAAGAATTGCCTTGTCATAGTAAGGACCCAGTTGTATTTTTTTTAAACATAAATTTGTAGTTGACTCAGTGGACACAGTCTTGTGATTTTTCTTCAGGTTCATGTAGCAGCAGATGAGTAAGAATAAAGGCAGTGGCTGATGGGAGTATTCCAGCCTTGAGGTTTGGGAGAGCAAGATCAGATGATTTAATGTGTATGTGAAACACCTTTGAAATCTGTAGAACACTAATGAAATGTGTGGTGGGATCATTATCTTTTTTTAGTTTTGTAATATAAAAATTGTTCTGTTACAGATATCATCAGGATATCTGGAATTCTTCCCATGTTTTGCTGAAGTGATCATCAGTTTGAAAAGATCATTTAACAGTTTGAGCTAACTCCTATATTCTGGTTAATAGAGACAATTGCCTTATACATTACTTATTTCTTTTTAGGGGATAGAGCTCATGGTTAATGTAACACTTAATGGTACTTTTATAACGTGGAAACATTTAGGATAAACATTTTCTTTGATGCCTTTTGTTCTGATTCAGTAGACATGTTGCTACAATTACTCAGATACACCTTTCCTCACAAATTATATCCCCTGAAAATGATTTATCAGTTCATTTTATTTATATTGGCCCAATCTTTGTTTATTTTGTTCTTTTGGCTTGACCCCTTCAATATTATTGTTATTTTTAAAAAATAGATCTTCCTGTACTTCTGTGGTTTCCTGTATTCATCTATATGGGGTAGTGAAGTGACATTACATTTAATGTGCCATAATTTGTTTAGCTGCTCCCTATTTTGGGGTGTATAATCTATTCCTAGATTTTTGATGTCACAAACAATAGTATTATAAATTTTTTTGTATTTGTGACTCATTTCTTTCTTAATGACCTCCATAGGATATTATCCCAGTTGGGAAACCTCTAGATAAATTTGTTAACTTTTTGGACATAATTTGTACTTGTTTTCTAGAACAATTGAGAATCTCTCCAGAGCTACACTGAAAGTGAATTAACAATGAGTTTTTGTATCTTTTTTATGTTGCTGGATGTGAGATCAGACATTAGGACTGTTTTAATGTATATTTCTCTTGATTTTTAGTAACTTTCTTCCTTTATTTATACAAACTTGCTTTTGTAATTGTATTTTTATGAGCTCTGGGCTTTGGTAGCTTATTAGTTAATTCTTTTTCTCTTTAAGCTATGTTGTATTAATTTTGCATATACATATACACATCAGTGTATGTGTATATATATACATATATATATATATATATTTATATAAAATATAATCTCCTTATAGGTAGGAACTATTTCATTTTCCCTGGCACGTGGTAGGCACTCCTAAGTACTTGCTGATTAATTTTTAACAATCCGAAACATTTAATTATCATCTTAAAAGAATACTCTCTTCTTGATATTTTTGTTAGTAATGTAGAAAAAAAACTTATGGAGGCAGCTAGGTGGTACAGTGGATAGAGCACTGGCCCTGGAGTCGGGAGGACCCAAGTTCAAGTCCGGACTCAGACATAAAACACTTATTAGCTATGTGACTCTGGGCAAGTCACTTAGACCCGATTGCCTCACCAAAAACAAAACAAAACAAAAAAAACAAAACAAAAAACCCCCCCAAAACCCCCCCCCCAAAATCCAACACAGCAACAAAAACTTAGGATTTGTGGCTTTGTTTGGCATTCCACAGGTATAAGGAAATTTAATATTAATGTTTTTAATTTTTTTAAATCATTTGGGGTTCTCTAAGTAGAAACACTTTTGCTTTCACTTTTCTTTGTCCTGTTGTTATGTGTCAGATAATAGTGTAGAGAGTAGGCAGTCCTTGCATTATTCCTGATTTGTCTGCTAAAGTTTCTAGTGTTTCTTTGGTAATAATAGTAGGAGTTCTTGGTTTTATGTAGGTTTAGAAAGATAAAAATATTAAATGCATCCTTTATAGATTTTTACTCAAATACTATAGAGAAATATGAACAAATGTTGCTGAAAAACAACAACTAAATAATTTTATCATGAAGAATAGGAAGGAAAGGAAAAGAAAAAAAATGAGACAGTATACTAAAATTTGTAGGATATTATGAATGCTTAAAAGAAGGATAAAATTTATCTCTCTTTTTAAAAACTTATTAACAAAAAAGCATCAACTAGGTGGTGCAGTGGATAGAGCACTGGCTCTGAAGTCAGGAGGACCTGAGTTCAAATATGGCTTCAGACCAAACACTTCACACTTACTAGCTGTGTGACCCTGGGCAAGTCACTTAACCCCAATTGCCTGAAAATTAAAAAAAAACAACAAAACATCGACTGTATGTGTACCTAAGAAAATACCTTGCAAATCAATGAACTCATACATAGAAAACAAGAATAACAGAAGGAACATTGAAAATCAAAGAAGAGAGAAAATAGAAGACTATTGGGCTAATAAGTTAAGCTGAGTTTCTTTGGGCCAAGTTAATAATTCAGTGAATAATCTAATATTTTTTTGATTGAGAAAAAACAAATTATCAACATCTAATTAGGAAGAAAGTTACGACGTATGGAATAGATATAGCAAAAATTATCAGAAACTCTTAAAATAAATTATGCTACTCCCAAAAACATAAGATGCTCAAATGAACAAAACAGGAATAGAGAATCTAAATATCATCGGAGAGAAATTGTGCAGGCCATAAATGAATTCTTACAGAAGTGAAATTACATGTGAAATCATCAAGAAAAGGGAAACCCCCCCCCAAATATACCCCAGAAAAGAAATGTAAATTAATAAAAATCGTTCACTCCAGGGAAGGGAGGGTGGGTCTAGCAGTTTGTGGGGATCAGGAAACACTTTATGAAGGAGGTGGTCCTACAATAACAACAACATTGTAAAGACAAACAACTTTGAAAGACTTGAGCTCTTGATCAGTGCAGTGACAGACCACAATTCCAGAAAACTGGTGATGAAACAACATATCTACCTCCTGACAGAGAGGTGATAGACTCAAGATTCCAAATTACAAATATATCCTTTGGACATGGTCAGTTGACTTGAATCTATACTTCACATACAGAACAAATCCTTTTATTAAGGGGATTTGTTTTGTGAAGTTTGAATTCAGTCAGAGGGCTGCACTTTAGGACCTAGAGGGCCACATGTGGCCTTGAGGCCACAGGTTCTCCACCCCTGATCTAAATGATCCAAGTGAAGGCTTAGGAGAACCCTTTAAAGAATTCCAAGACAAAACATTTTAAATTTCAATCGCAAGCACTTAGTGGACACCTACTATGAGGTGGGCCGAGTGCTAGCCATTGGGAATCTAATGACAAATAATTAAATAAATATTCCCTGCTGACAAGGAGCTTACATTGCAGTGTGGCGCCAGGCGCCCCCGCGGGCCCCCCACCCCCAGCACTTGCAGTGGTGTTTTTATGTCTCCCCCCCCCCCCTTTGTTTGGCCCACTGAGCATAGCCTATTAGTGAGTAACACTTTTCAACACAGTGACAGCATGAGTCTTTGATTAAAAGTAATAACTTTAAAAAGTACATATTCATTCATTTGTGGTAAACGATATTCAGTCTCTTGTCTTGGTGCCTTTGCAAGAGACTATCCCATATATCTAAAGTATATTCTTTCTCTCTTTTTTAAAATAACATTTTTATTTTTTCTAAATTACATGTAAACACAAGTATTACTATTCATTTTTAAAAAAGTTTTAAGTTTCAGGTTTTCTCCCTCCCTCATTTCCTTCATCCATGAGACGACCTTACATTTTTTAAGGAAAGAAATGTATATGTATACCTATATACAGAATAGATACATGTAGAATAAATGTAAGATAAAAATAGTTGCAACATAATTGATATCAAACGTAGCAACTGAAGGGATCCAGACAGAGGCATTATTTAGAATGAGTTCTTAATTTGTACTCTGTAAACTTGTTTTAAAAAGTATTTTGATAACTGCCTTTTAGTAGAATTGATTGATTGCCTTTGTAATCCAATTAATTTTATTTTTAATATGAACAACAGGTAGCTAGGTGATTCAGTAGACAGAATGTTAGACTTGTCATCAAAGAGACTCGTCTTCCTGAGTTCAAATTTGGCCTCCGTCACTTAATATGTAGTGACCCTGGGCACGGTCGTTTACCCTGTTTGCCTCAGTTCCTCATCTATAAAATGAGCTGGAGAAGAAAACTGCAAACCATATTTCCCTCCCGTACCCTCTCCCACCCCCCCACCCCCAACACACACCCCAAAACGAAACAAACTACAGCAACAAACCCAGATGAGGTCACAAAGGATCAGGCATGATTGAAATGACTGAACTGCAACAATATAAGCATTATCAAGATGACCAGTTTGGCTGGACTGTACAGTACAAACAAGCCAGGCAGGAAATAAACATTTATTAATTGCTTACTTTGTGCCGTGTACTGTGCTAAGTGCTTTTTACAAATATTACCCTCATTTTATCTTCACAACAACTCTGGAAAGTAGGTGCAATTATTTCTATTTTATAGCTGAGGAAACTGAGTCTGTCAGGTTAAGTGACTTACTTGTCCAGTACTTCCTGTACATCCAGTAAGTATGAGGCCAGAGTGGAACTCTGACCTGACCCCAGACCCAGTGCTCTATCCAGTGAGCCATCTAGTTAGAAACAAAAAGAGAATAAAATAAGGAGGAGAATAATGTGTAAGGAGACTAGAAATATGAGTTGGTTCTTCATTATGGTGGATTTTAAAAGCCAACCAGAGGAATTTATATTTTATATTGGAGGCAATAGGGAACCACTTGAGTTTCAGTAGGGAAACACTTTCCTTAAAGAAAATTTTTATGGAGGATGGATTGAAGCACTATTACAGTTTGTCAGAGGAGAGGTGATATGTCATTTGACCTACATTTGATCTATGAAATTACATTTTCCAGCAGTAGCAACTCTCACATAATGCTTACCAGTTACAGAGGATTTTTTGTCTATTGATAGAAGTGGGTTTCCACTTCGATGAAATTATAGATCACTGAAGTAATAAAATCTGAAGATCCAGTATTGAAGTAGTTTATATAGCAGAAGACTTTTTGGAGTGTTTCTGTAAATGACAATCACCTTAGTATGGTTTAAAGTACTAAAATAATTTTTAATTAGAATTCTTTCAGAACATATCGTCTAATGACATATAAATATTATATTCAGTTTTGAAAGGTCCTGAATGAAGTTTAAAAACCCAAATAAACATCAGATGATTCACATATTAGGAGAATATGAATTTTTCCTTATAATTTTCTTTTCTTTTCGTAGGAGAGACTTCAGCATGCAAACCTTCATCTGTTCGCCTCGCACCATCATTTTCATTCCATGCCGCTGGTCTTCAGATGGCTGGACAAATGCCCCATTCACATCAGCAGTACAGTGACCGCCGTCAGCCAAACATAAATGACCAACAGGTTTCTGCCTTATCTTATACTGACCAGATTCAACAGCCTCTAACTAACCAGGTATGTTTGTGTCATATTAGACAGCTTAATTTTGGCATGACAGTTTATTGTTGCCTTAAAATTTGAGAAAATAAGAAATATGAGTGGTTTGATTGGGTTAGTTGAGTTTGTTTTTCTGCAAATTATGCGGGGTTCCAAATGTTTGTTTAAAGGTAAATTATTTTCAGTAGAATCAAATTATGTTTTTTAATTAAGGAAAATATACATTTTTACATCAGAGGAGAAATGTTAGTCCAGAAAATACTTTTTATAAAATTATGTCACTTGAAGTAATCACTTTGTTTATTAGAAGGTGAAAGCAGGTTATGATTTGTTATAGTAGAACATCCAGTTATCCTATTGGTTTGGGTATAGGTTACCCCTTAAATAACCTGCACCTCTAAAGTGAAAAGTCATTAAAGGAAAAAAAACCCTAAATTAAAAAACAAAGCATTTCTTTACTCTTTCTCTAGCAATTTTGCTGTAATTGCTTTAAAATACAATTTTTTATATTTACTTATGCTCTTTTTACATCACTTTCACTTTGTATATGGAGTATATCACTAATGATTTCCCTTTCACTCACAAAACCTTGTGGAACCCTTCCTCTTAACAAATAAGTGTAGTCAAAACATTCACCATGTCTGAAAAGGTATGCCTCATTCCAAACCTCAGTCTACTATCTTTCTGTTCTCAGGCAGGGGACATGCTTCAGTGTCAGAGAAAACTTTAATTCAATCTAATGAAAATAACCTCATAGTAATGAAGATGATATGTGCCTTAGAACATATGATATTAGGTCATGTGGCAGATTTTAGCAGTGTTGGTAATTCTTAAAATTCATTTTGGGAAATGAATGGATGATCAGATGTAAATTGATGTTATGTCCATAGTCAAGTAACTGTTTCATAGTATTCGAATGTTACTCCTGGAAAGAACCTTTATTTTACAGATAATGAAACTGAAGCCTAAGTAGAAGAATTAACTTTCCAGTGTTACACTGGAAAGTAAGGGACATAGCTAGAATTTGTCATTGTATAAGTTCTCTTGGTTCTGCTAATTTCATATTGCATCAGTTCCTACTTTCTGTGGTTCTCTGAAATAATATCTTGGTAATTTCTTATTATTGCAATAATATTCCCCTACATTCGCATACAAGTTTGTTCCAAATTGTGCCTAGTTCATGGGTGCCCTTAATTTCTAGTTCTTTGCTTTTCTCTTAAGTGCCAGTTCCCCCCTGCTTTAATCCCCAACTTTGGTATCAGAAAGTTTATTTTGTTTGCAGGTATTTAGTCTGTAGTGTTATCTGTTCTCTTGTTTCTTCTCTTCTCCCTATCTCTGTCCATCCTTTTTCTCCCCTCTGTCCCCCCCCCTTTTTTTTCTTTGGGAGTTTGTTATGTTTTTGAGACTGGGTCTTTCTAACTCAGGCTGCAAGTGCAGCAGCCATTTATGGACTGTGTAGCAACTACTGAACAGCACAGGAGCTTTGACATGCTCCATTTTTCTTACCTGAGCCAGTTTGCCTTTTTTAAACAGCCTGATGGCCCCATATTTATTGGTGTTGAACTTAGTGTGAACATCTTTCAGGATAGCAGTCAGTTAAAGCTCAGAACTCTCAAGGTCCTTGAGGGCAGAGACTGTCTTTATTTCTCTATATCGGAGCCTGGCACCCACTAGGTGCTTATTAAATGTTTATTGACTGACTAACCTACCAACCTCAGTCTCCTTGGTGGCAGGGATTACTTGCCAAATCACCACACCCAATTTATTATCTTTTAATCATCTTTTCCCTATCCCCTTCAGTTTCCACACTGAGTTTGATATATTTCTGTACCATACTCTTACTATGTATATGAATGCACTTGCATGAGTGTATGTAACTCTTTTTTGTCCAAAGTCCAGATTCAGTTACAAGTGAGGTTCATCTGATTCCTGACCCTCCTTACCTTTCCTTGTTGTTTGTGTACTCTTTTCTCACATCCCAGTTATAAGAAATAGCTAATATTACTCATTCTTCTTTTCCACATCCTCCCTTTTCTTTCCCCTTTTAAAGCTCTCAGAACAGAACCAGTCTACAGTGGGTGCCTCTGATGGCCAGACTTCTCTCATTACTCTTTGAAGATATTAAAGTTTTGAAGAGATGCTTGTTTCTTCTCTTATTAAAATGTTAGCTTTTCATCATTAAACAGCCACTTCTGGTTGTTCATATATATTTCTTTATAGATCTTTTGTTTGCATTTCAGCAACAGGAATGCTTGGTAGGCTGCTATTCCATACAAGTTCTCAAAAGGTCTATTTTTACCCCTGTAGTATGAAACTGAACTTTCTAGGGTAAATGATTCTTGGTTGCAGGCTTATCATTTGCCTTTTGGAATGTTGTATTCCCAGACGTCTCCTCATTTATAGCAGAAGCTGCAAAGTCTTGTGTGATCCTGAGCCCTTTTTTGCTGCTTGAAGTACTTTTCTGTGACATTGGAGCTCAGAATTTTGGCTTTGGCATTCCTAGAATTTTTCCTTTTGGTGTTTTTTTTTTTTTTAAAGGAGGTTATCAGTGGGTTCTTTCAGTCTTCACTTTGGCCTACAGTTATAATAGCTTTCAGCAATTTTCATTTATAATTTCTTAAAGCAAATTTTTAAAAATTATGGTTTTTAGGCAATTCATTGATTTTAAAATTATCTTTGACCTATTTTCCAGCTTGCATTTTCTTCTAATTTTTTTTTTCAGTGTTTTAATTTTGTTCTGTTTCTTGCTGTCTGATGGAATCATTGACTTTGGTTTAGTCTAATTTTCAGAGAGCCTGTTACTTTGCTAAGATTTACTACTTTTGTTCTTTTCTTCCAAATCTTTCCTCCTAGGGCTTTTATTTCATTTTTTAAATCTCTTGCTTCATTTCTTCTAGTTATTCATGTCATCCTTGTGGAAAAACTGTTTTTTCCTTTGAGTTCGTGTTTTTAATAGTTATGATGCTACTCTTCTATCTAAGTTGGATTTTTTGGCATCTATGAATCCATAGTAAGTTGCTGTAGAATTTCTAATTGTTTACCGTATTTCTTTGGGAATTGTTGCTGACCACTTACCATTTGAGAAGAGCTTTTTGTTCTTATATAATTATGGTTATTTCCCTGTGTATCTTAGATACCAGGCTCCCTAATCAGAGATTTGATATAAAGATTTTTTCCCCCCAGTCAGCCCAGTAATTATCTTTCCACAAATTCCTATTCAGCTGTAGGCAAGGCAGGTTTAGTATATACTAGGTCACTGTGTTGTCTGGTTGTCAAATACTCCTTATTACAGAGCTACATACGGTCTCTTTATAATAAATTTCTCTTATGCCACCCGGTTCTAGACGATGACCTTTTTCAGTGATCTGAGCAGAAAGATGTTGCCATTACTGTGAAGAAGTCTACAATATCCCATAGTATCTTATCAGTATTAAGACTTGGGTTATATTCTCAGTGCTGCAGGGTTATGACAGTGGCAAGGAACATGCTCAACTAACAAATTTAAATGGCTGCATTGAATTAAATGATGAGCAGTTGCCTTGAAAAATATGTTTATATTTGTATTTGCGATGAATGAAAAACTCCAAGAGACAGTTACTGGGTAATTAATAATTTATTAATTAGGCTAGCTAATAATGAAAACTGATGGTCAATGATTTCTCTCAGTAACCAAAGACAAATCATGGAGACACTGAATGCTTTAAATATTTTTGTAAGGGGATGCCCCAGACAAGAGAAATCAACCTTAATTGGTGGACATTTAATGAGGAGGAGGGCTAGAAGTCTTCATGCTGAGAACATGGCTTGATCATGAGACTTAGCCACCCCCAGCAGTCTGGACAGAGGAATTCATCTCCATTCAGACGACTCTGGTTTTCTCCTTCATGAGCTCGGTTGCCCTAGACTTCAATGGAAGGGTGCAGGGACTGGGACTCATTTCCTTGGGGCAAGAATTCACCTAGATTAAATTCTGTTTTCACTCTAAACATAAGCAAGGTCTCTTAGTTGGATGGGGTTAGGGTGAGCATGTTGCCTGAGAGTTAGGGACATCTCATCAATCAGCTGTGTCCTTTAGAGACTGACTGACTGACCTACAGGGGCTGGGCCCTAAATAAAGGATATAAAGGAGAAAAAGCCTTAATCCTAATTTAATAATTGCATGTTAATATAATAGCAAAATAATTTCTTTCACATTCATATGCAGAGACATGGATTTTAATTTTTAATTGTAGTTATAGTTAATGTAGTTTAGTTAAAAGTACTAGTCTTTTCTGTCTATTTAAGGTGATACCTGATATTGTCATGTTACAGAGACGGATGCCCCAAACCTTCCGTGATCCAGCAACTGCTCCTCTGAGGAAACTCTCTGTTGACTTGATCAAAACATACAAACATATTAATGAGGTAAGTAAGTAAATTATTTATTTCATGACAACATGATTCTGTTAAAGAGTTTTCTGCAGAGTTTTTTGTGAGTAATGGAGGCTGCAAACTTTTCCCTAATTATCATATTGATGATGAATCTGAAGCCTTAGTAAAGAATGACAGTTATTCCATGGGTTTAAAAAAATTACTATTTAAGTTATGGAAGGGCAGTATGTTATAGTGGAAAAGACATTTTCCCTGCAGTCAGAAATTTAGGGTTTAAATGTTTTTCTGACAACTTATTCCTTGGACAAGTCATGTATCCTCCCTGGGTTTCACTTTGCTCATCTTTAAAATGAGTAAGTTCAACTACACAGCTTCTGAGGCCCATTCCAGATCTAAATCTATGATCCTTTCAAATTATTTTTACCCATGCTTTGACTCTTCAGATACCATCTGTTAGATATTGTCAGACACTACCCATTACATATTTTGGATTCTGTCAAAGATATCTTTGGAGCATGATATCAACTTGCCTACTTTAATCCTGATTCAGTAATTGGTTATTGAATGAATGTTCCTTTAAGAAAATGGATGTGTTTGTGTTTCCTTTTATGCTTGGAATTTAGCCCTGTAATTCATTTGTATTAAGGCCAATCATCTCATGAGCTTTTTGGAATAGAGGAATGAGGAAAGGTATACATTAGTGTGGTTAAAGAGGTGGTAGTAGTGTATTTATACGTTTTATGACATTTTGATATTATTGAATGGTATTACTATTTTATTATTGTGTCAATGGAGCATGATAAAATTAAAGAAACTTCTAAGTGAGATAAAGGATCTTATTCATTATTGTCATCTGTACAAATTGTCTTGACCTTTATTAATCTGAAAATATGGTCATTCAGTTTTTTTGGATGCAGAACATTTCATGTGTTTTCTCATAATAATTTAGTTTATATTTTGAAAGTATCAAGCATTATAATATTCGTTTGATTTTTGTAACCATAGCATAAGCTGTAGGTATAGTATCTTCAGGGTGACATATATTTTCGCAGATGCTTTTTTGGATGTTCTTTTGTCTTAGTAACTTATAAGAAAAATAACAGTATTTACTGCATTTCTTTTGAAAAGGATATAGGTTCAATGATCACAGAAATCAGATCTTATTTAAACTTTAGCTTGCATCAGCATAGTAACAGAATAAGCATTTCAGTGCTTTTGAAGGAATTAATCTATAGTACATGAATCCATTAGTGTTAGCAGTTGTACTCTACTTACCAATTTCTCATAAACTGTTATCTAAATTATTTGCATACTTAGTAATGTAAAAATATAATTATGTATCTTGAATTTCAGGTTTACTATGCAAAAAAGAAGCGGAGACATCAACAGGGCCAAGGAGATGATTCTAGTCACAAAAAGGAGCGGAAAGTTTACAATGATGGCTATGATGATGATAACTATGATTATATTGTAAAAAATGGGGAAAAGTGGATGGATCGTTATGAAATTGACTCTTTAATAGGAAAGGGTTCCTTTGGACAGGTAATTCCGTCAAAAATTATTAAATTGTTTGAATTGAGAGGATAGTGTAGATCTTAAAATAGAGACTAAAAAAATCACAAGATACATTTTTCTCTTGTAAGTGTTGGATGTCTATGCATTCAGTAATTACTGAGGTTTGGGAGCTATAAGAGATAATGTTACTTTTTCTGCAAAGAATTTATTCTCTTTAGTATTGTATTTCTAGACTTTCTTTATGGTGTATTCTTTATCATATGTGCACCAGAGATGTGTTTGTGTTTGTGGGGGGTGGGGGGTGGGGTTGTGCTTCGTTCTTGAGGAGGAACAGGACATCAGCAAGATGATGCCATGACTTGCAAGTGAATTTAAGTGAGGGACGGCTGTGCAAAATTACCAGTCTTCCTTTCTCCTCTGGAGTCATCTGGGTCCAGTGGCCAGATACAGATTGTGATGACTGGAGATGACCCAAGATGCAGTGGGAAACCTTGGCCTTTTTAAGTTAAGGTCTTTTCGAGTTCTTACTTTGTCTGAGGCAATGCCCCTTCAGTGATTAGGGCTGTTTAAGAAGTGAGCCAAGGGATGACCCCTTTAATTAAAAAAAAAAAATCAAAGTGCATTTCGGTATAGCCAGTGAGGTGTAATGAAAAGAGAGCCAATATCAGAGACACCTGGATTGAAGTGTGTCCTGAGTAAGTCACTTAAACTCTGATTGAGCCAGACAATTCTCTAAGATTAGAAGTTTCAGAGAAAGTAATCATCTGTATTGAAGAGGAAATTCATTACCAACATGGAAGGAATCAATCTGAAGTCTGGTAAATATTTTAAATTATATAAATGAATCTTTTACTCTCCCCTGGAAAGTAGCTATAAAGTTAAAATATCTCACATGTCAGAGGAAACCTGGAGGAATAATCTCAGTCTGTAACCCCCCTGTATTTTAAATTTTTTCTTTTTCTTTTATTTTCACTTTGTTTATTATGCTTTTGAGTTTGATGTCTTCCCTCCTAAGTTATTAAGAGTGGCATAATTATATGTAAAAAACATAATTCAGGTAGTTCAGTTCAGTGCAGAATTTGTCATTCAGACAATACTGAGTGTCATGATACTCATTTAACTATATATGTAAGTCAGCTTTTCTCATATTTAATGTTTAGCTGTGAAAAATTAATATAAAAGTAGACTAGAAAATTAACTGAATTTTAATTATCTATTGGAAAATTAGAAAATTTAATTATATTTTCACTTCATGTTTTATTTCTAGTATTCCTACATACCCAGTAATGAGGTCTTAACTAATTTGCTTTTTCCTAAATTTTCCTTTTTCTCAAAAAACACATATTGGCATCAGAATCTTGATCAATTAATAAGTTAATGGCACTATAACACATTATTCATTATATTCTATGATTCTTTGAGTTGTTGTTTTGATGAAAGACTATATATTAGTTTAAATTTAGCAGTTTCTTGGTTTCATTAAACCATCCCTTTGTACAGTAGAGATGGTTATATAGATTTGAGATTGATTAGAAAAAAATGGAACAAAATAAGTGTAAAATATTTATCTTTTTTTGTACTCACAGTATGTTATAAGAGAATATAACTTAAATTTTTCTTTGTATATAGTTCCACATACTACTTTAATACTTTCATAACAAATCAGATTTGCAAGATACTTGGTGCCCTATTGAAACTGTTTACAGATTGGAAAGAAGTAAAAAGGTTATTAGTGTGATCTGAAAAAGAATTTTTCTTTACTGCTTTTCACAGTCAGCTAGTTTTTACTTAGCTCTGTACTTATTCTATAGTTAAGCTTCCGTCATTACGTTGTCATTTTTAGTATCCTTTAACTGGTATTGGACTAAAATTGGGACAAAGAAATGTAAGATTTTATTATTGAACTTTTTGCAGTTTTTCATTAGAAACTTTTATTTTAAAGGTATTACTTTGATTTTCCTTGATTTTGGTGACTCACTTTTCCTAAACGGTTTTATTTCATGGCCTATAGTGAATTTTTTTTTTTTGAAGATTTTGAAGTATTAAAGATAAAATAGGTTATTTGGAATTTCTTGCCCTAGGAATTTGTTCATACAGTTGACAGATGCCAATCCTACCATTTAGTTTTTATCTGCATCTTAATTGGTCTTTAAAACAAGGGGTTAAAAAAACATACGAAAGTTGGCAGCATAGTTTGGTTAAAAGAGAACTGGATTTGAAGTTGAGTGCCTGAGTTCAAAGAGCGTTGGTAGTAGGTTAGAATTGAGCTCCTGCTGAGCTTATTGTCACAAAATCAGAGAAACTGTAGAGTTGTTAAGGATGCTTGAGGCCATCTAGCCTAATGAAAAACCTAGAAGAAGCATTCTCTAATGTAACCAAAAAATAATCATCCATTCTTATTGGAGGCCAGGCCTAAAATAGGCCAGTCTGATGAGTTCAAGGTTTAAGATACAATAAACATTTGTGGATGGTAAAAATCAAATTGAAAACCACTTTGCTACTTAAGTATTAAAATAAAAATGGGACTTTCCTCCTTAGTTAGCAGATAGATCTGCAGGTGTTTGAAGCTGTGGAAACAGCCTCAGCAGTTCCCCCAACCTTCTGTAAGCCTTTTTTGTAATTTGATTACCAGCTCTATTCACTATGAATAATTAGATGGGCATGGAGTGAAGTAGAAAGACACTCAGTCAGTACCACCATCCTTTCAGTTCTCTAGGTGTCATCTCCAGGTGATATCTCTAGCTGTCATCCTTGACTCTTTAACTATCTGGTACAAGGCACTGTATTTCCTGATTCTGGTCATTTTCATTTGTTGTCTCCCATGTTTGGAATGCTTTTCATTTCTGCCTCCTGGCTTTCTTTAAATCCCAGATAAAATCCTACCTTCTACAAGAAACTTTTTCCAGATCCCTTTTAATTGCAGTGCATTTACTCTGTTGATTTTTTTCTCCCATTTATCCTGTGCATAGCTTGTTTGTATGTAGTTATTTTCATGTTGTCTCTCCCCTTAGACTGTGAGTTCCTTGATGGCAGGGTCTATCTTTACCTTTCTTTGCGTCTCCAGTGCTTAGTATAGTGCCTGGCACTGGTATCACCTGCTTTCCATTCAGTAGAATCTTTGCTCTGCTGAAGAGTTGATGATCCCTTCCACATTGCCCCTTTTCCCCATTACAGGTCTTAATCATCTGAATTAGACTAGTTTAGAAATCATAGGCCTCTTGCTTGCAACTTGTTCCAGCACCCATTTAATACTGGAGCTCAACCCATACTACCACACATTCAGTGTTCCCTATTTTACCTGGTCCATGGGATCATAACACTCTGATTGACATTCTGAAGAAATGCCTGTATTATCTTGGTTAAGAGGGGTCCCCTCATATACTACAAAATAGCATCATGGTCACTGTGTCCATCTGAATAACGAATCTAGTCCTGAATCTCTGCTTTGTGACAGTACAACATACAAACTCAATGCTATGGAAGGCATCGTCAAAATTCTGCCATCAGTCCTTACCCCAAAGATATTATCCCCTGTGCCCCCCCCCCCAATTGTGCAGTACTATTCTATCCAGGCCCCAGACCACCCAGCCAAACTATTGCCAATGCCTAGGAATCAGTATAGATAAAAACCTTGTGTTCCTCATCCTCCAAGACCCTCTTACATGTTATATCCATTCACCTTACAACTTGGCCCATTGGGATGATTTGCCATGACTCTTATCCCTGAAGTTGTCCTTGGCTATTGGATTCCTAGCTGCCAAGGTCTAGTTGTATATCTCTTTCTCATAATGAGCAGAACCATCTATAAATCCTCAAAATCGTGTTCTCAGTACGTAGGTCTAAGGACCATTGGGCAAACAAAGAATTGGAGTAGGGACTGGAAGAGTTAAGTCTCTGGCAACTTCACAACATCTTGTAGGAGAACTTATCTTGCATTACTCCACTCATTCATAATGGGCATTTGGATGAAGTCTAATAGTACTGACTGCATCAACCATTGAATTAATCCAGGATCCCAATAATAGGTAAGCAATTATTTTTCAGATGTAATAGAATGAGTGACTACTTCAGGGAGCGTGTGGTCAAGCCCTGATAGTATTTTGGTGTCCACCAAAAACAAGCAAACAAAAACCAAAACTTCCACTCAGCTTCATCCTTATAGTATGAGGCTTCTAAGGAGATAGATCCCACAAAGTCATGAGGGCCTTATAGGAAAGACTCAGCCCACTTTGAGACTTAATAGTCTGTTGTCTGTTCTTGTCTTTACTCAATAGAAGTAGACTTGTGAGTAACTAGAGATAAATAAGAGTTTATCAAAATATCCATATGGGAAATATAGGTTTTTCAAAACCTGAAATGTTCATTAAGTTGTTAGGTTTCCTTTTTAATTAATGGAGGAACATTTGGGGGGGGGTTAGGGTTTAATCTTCACCATTTGTTTCTTGAGCCATTCTCTGATTAAATGCCCTTTGTCACCATGGCCTCACACATGCCATTCAGCATTACATTATTAAATAATTGTGGAAGTCAGTGCTCTCAGGAAGTGGTGTGTTTTTCAGATTTCTTCCCACTAAGCCAGTAATATGAGGAATTCAATAACCTTGAGGAACAGTGGTGAAAGTATACTGAACTTTTTCCCACATAAAGGCTCCTGACTGTGCCTAGTCATGAAAATATAGAAGGCATTGGTGAAATCAGTGACTCCAGTACACCACACTTTAGAGTAGGCTACCTGGTCCATTGTGTTGACCAGTTCAGGAACAACTGCAACAATTGCCTTAATAGCTTATTTAGCTCTGTTATGAATTTCCAGGTACTATCAACTTTTTTCACTAGTCACGTGGAATTGTTAGGAATGTAATGAAGTACTCCTCTCAAGAGTGAGGTTAGGCCAGCTTTCTTTTCCCCACAAAGCTCCATTGCAAGCCTTCACTTGAAGATCTCTGCTGTCACTTATGTGACTTTGGACACATGACAACCCCAAGTTCCCCATCTACAAAATGGCAATATTAATGCTTTCTCTACCTACCTCAGGCTTGTTATGAAGAGAAATTGTTTCCTATAAGTGGTGAAGTGTATTCTTTTCCAGTTATTCCAAATCTGGGCTCATAGCAACTCCCATGGTAGCCACACTAAACCTTCATGTTAATCGCTGTCATGCTGCCTAAGTTCTGCCCTAATGAAATTAAAGGTGTATTTTGAAGAGACATTGGTGGTGACGTTGGTGCGACATTTGCTTTGCTGCCATGCGTGTGCATGTCATGTCCCCCCCCCCAAAAAAAAAAAATAAATGATCCCTTGGGTTTGTCTTTGCAAAAGTTTGGTGGTGATTTTGCAAAGGCGCATCTAATCACTTGAAAGGATCAATGAAATTTGCCATTCATAACAGGCCTAGATTGAAATTGTGACTTCTGTCTCAACCTTGATCATCAAAGCCCTGAAAGAATAAGAAGAATATTAAGAGGAGTAGAAATCTCACTCTCAGTGAAAGTATCAACAGATGAGACACGGATCTCAGGCAAGAGATCTATCTGGAAAAATTGAAGAGTTGCTTGGGCCAGCCCAAACCACTGGCTGCAACATTGACTGTATATATCCTAATTATGTCATTGATGATATCAGTAGTGGTGTTGTACATCCAGTGAATTAAGAGCTATAAAGGGGACTTATAATAAATTTAATGTTTTATCATAATCAAAAAAGAAAGAAATTGCTGTGATCTTCAGTGGGTTTTGGTTTTTTATAGGTCTAGCCTTTGACATACAACTTAGCTTGTCTGGGTATCAGTTTTCTTACATATAAAATGGATAACTTAGACTAATTCTCTTCCAGCTTTAAGTTCGGTGATCCTAATGAATATAATATTTAATATTATTAGTCCAGACTGCTTTTGGGTGTACAAGTGACTAGATGTTTTCGTACAGAATAAGTCATAATTCTTGGTTCCTTTTTTTTTTAAGTGAGAACTTTTGGTATCAGTGAGTCACTAAGCATTTATTAAATGTCTACTCTGTAGCAGTCTCTGGGCTTGATTTGAAGAATATGAAGACAAAATATGGAAGTCCATTTTCTCAAGGAGCTAATGTTCTATTGACAGAGACATGTGCTTGTAAAAATATATATTGGATAACTAGCAAATATATACAAAGTGGATAAAAGGTAATGAAGTAGGGCAGTAGAAGTTGGAAAGACATCTTTTGGAAGATGGTGCTTGAGCTGTACATTGAAGGAAGCGAGGGATTCTCTGAGACAGGTGAGGAAGGAGTGTATTCCAAGTATGGGGGGTGGTTAATGCATAAGCATAGAGATGGGGGGATGAAATGCCATGTATAAGGACAATTATCATGACCAAGTATATAAGTAATTACCATTTGCCTGCTATTGGCTAAGAGTTGAGGATACAAATAAAGCCAAAAACATGGTGGGGGAGATGACATGCAAACAACTATGTACATGCAACATAAACAAGGTCATTTCAGAAAGAGTTGGGGTGGGAAAAGAAACTAGAAAGGACATTCCTGCAGAAGGTAGGGTTTGAGTTGAGCCTTGGAGGAAGACATGAGGTAAAAACAAGTAGGGAGAACATTTCGCAGAATGGGGAATGTCATGTGAACATCAAGGAGTGTAATACAGTTTGATTGCAGAGTAGATGAAGGCATGTAAAGTGGAAGAAAACTGCAAAGTTAGGGAGAGGCCAGGTTGTGAAAAGTTTTAAAAGCCAAACAGGATTTTCTATTGGCTCTTGGAGTTAATTGAGCAGAGGCGTGACATGGTCCGGTATGTGCTTTCTGAATATCACTTTGACACATCTGTACAGTGAGGTAATGAGATCATTCAAAAGGCTGTTGAAATAGTTCAGGCATGAGATGATGAGGGCCTCCACTGGAGTGAAGGCTGTGTCAGAGGAGAGAAGAGTATGTATTCAAGAAATGTTCACAAGATTTGGCAACAGACTGGCTGTGTGGGGTGACTGTGAGTGAGGAATCAAGAATATCACTGAGAGATTGGGATTCTAGGTGAACGATTGGTGGGATGATGATATCCTCAAGAATAATAGGGGTGTGGGTGGGGATGTTGAGGGAAGGAGAACCGAAGGTTAAGGGAAAGATAAGGAATTCTATTTTAGATGTGCAGTTTCAGATGCCTGTGGGCTATGCAGTTTGAGACACCCAAAAGTAATGAGAGACTAGAAGTCAGGAGAAAGATTAGTACTGATCTAGGGATCTGAGAATAATCAACATGAAAATGGTAATTAATTCATGTGAGTTGATGAGATTGCTAAGCATGAAACTTAGTATAAAGGGAAAAGAGTAGATAGCCAAGGACAGAACCTTGGGGGACCCCCTGTGATTGTTAGGTATGACCTGGATGAAGTTCCAGCAAAGGAAACTAAGGAGTGGTTGGACAGGTAGGAGAAAAAGTAGGAAAGAGTGGTGTCATGAAAAACCAGAGGCTAGAGCATTCAGGAGAAGAGGACATTGTCAAAAGCTGCATAGAGGTCAGCAAGAATGAGGATTGAAAAGAGGTTATTAGATAATGCAACATAGAGATGACCAATATGGCTGGATTGTAGTGGGGAAATGGAAGAGGATAATGTATAATGAGGCTGGACAGTAGCTTGGGGCCAGATCGTGAAAGATTTTAAAACTAAACAAGAGGTTATATTTGACCTTTAAGTCAGTGGGGAGCCACTGGAGTTTATTGAATACGAGAATGATGTGGTCACACCTACTGTTAAGGAAGCTCATTTTGGTAAATATATATGGAAGATGGATTGGAATGAGAAAGACACTTGTGGTAGTAGGCTAATTAGGAGATTATTTTACTAGTCTAGGCAAAACAGGTGAAAGATGAGGAGCAGCTGAACTGTGGTGGATCTTTGAATAAAGAGAAGGGATAAGATAGATATGAGAGATGTTATGTATGCAGAAACAGCCTGATACTTCAACTAATTTGATAAGTAGGATTTGTGAGAATGAGGAGCTGTGGATAATGCTAATGTGGATAATGGGAGACTTCAAAATTGGTGATGCCTTTTTCAGAAACAAGGAATTCTAGTAGAGGGGAGGACTACTACTTCTAGGTCTGCCTTTTTCATTCAAGAAGAACAAATCTAATCCTTCTATATGTATTTAAGGTATTTCTGATTACTGAAGCATTTTCATTTGTTATTAATTTAGTTTTAACAATTGTACTTGGATAAACATTTTTTCTCCTTTTTTATTTGTTCTTAATGAAAGCAATTGCAGAGAGCAGGGTGGGAGTCAGTCTGGTACTTTGAGTCAGAATTACTAATGATTTTTAAGGAATCCAAATAATACTAAAAGCTAGTGGTTCTGGGAACTCTAGCTATTTGGTGAAATCAGTGTAGTCCCATTTTTTGAATCCTTTAATTGCCTGTTTTGTTTCAAAAAGGCAAAATGATCCACAAGTTAAAGTTGTTTGATGTCTTTAACAGTCTATCAAATGTGATCCCCAAAAAGGTCATAAAACAGAGAACATGATCTGTTCAGGTAAAGCTGATACGAAGAATAAAAAAAATTTTTTTTGGAAAATGTATAGTTAATAAAAACAGTGTTAAAACACTGGAAAATAAAAGTAACTTAGAAGTAGCAGAAAGATCATAACTAGGAAGAAGGAAAATCTGGGTTCTAAACTTAGCCCTACCAGTACCTAGCTGTGTGACCACTTAATTTCTGGGCCTTGTTTTCTGTATTTATAAAATGAGCAAGGTAGACTAGAGGAGGCCTCTCCTAGCACTGATAATACATTTCATTGACTATGAGATGTGTTTCTCTATGTGTTTAATTAGAATTGTGGAGCCTTTTTCATGAATAAAGTATAGATATAGCTGCATAACAATTCTTTTTGTTTTTATAGGTTGTAAAGGCATATGATCGTGTGGAGCAGGAGTGGGTTGCCATTAAAATTATTAAGAACAAGAAGGCTTTTTTAAATCAAGCCCAGATTGAAGTGCGACTTCTTGAGCTTATGAACAAACATGATACTGAAATGAAATACTACATAGGTAAATCAAAGTTAAATGTTTGCTTTTTTTTACCCTTCCAATCTTTAAATCAAACTATTTTTTAAGGTGCTTGATTAAAATTTCCAGCTAACATGCACAACTAAGTTGCATTTGGAGACTAATAAATTTCCATATATGAGCCTCAGTTCTTCCCAGTATCATTCAATTTTTAGAACTCATTCATATAAAAATCTTCCAAGTATATATTTCAGGAGTATATTTCATCCGCATATAAAGCAACTCGTAATTAAATACTTAATTGTATCCATGTTCTCATCAGTTCTCAAATTTACTGCTTACATCAGTGGTAAAGGTCAGAACTTCCATCTACTTTTTTAACTGGTGTATATTTCCCCATAAATCTTCCATGGGGAGATGTATAGCTCTCCAGCCCTACATCTGTAATTCTATGGTTGCTAAAGCATTTAGTCTGTCTGTCTTTTCCCATTCTCTCCTTACATAACCAGTAATACTTACCTCCTGTTATGATCATACGTTTCTGGGATGCTATCTTTTCTGTCATTCCTTTTCGGCAAGTTATTGTTAGTAACATGCTATAACTGCATATCCTCTATTGTTTTTGTGTTACCTACAGTTGTGATTATTTTGAAGTTGTAGTGTTCTCATGTTTTGCAGCATCACTAGAAGTTTGTTAGTGATGTAATAAAAAAGGTTGAGCAAACATGACTTTGAGTTGTTAGGGAGCAACTTATGGTCATTGAAAATACTACATGGTTTAGCAAATTCAGTTCTCATTTGTCTTAGTCTGTTCTAGTCTCATTTCATTAAAATAACAATGTCACCCATCTGACTGCATGCTGTAGTCTGGATTTCCAATATGGATTGTTAAGCAGATCTCTCTCTCTCTCTCTCTCTCTCTCTCTCTCTCTCTCTCTCTCTCTCTCTCTCTCTCTCTCTCTCTCTCTCTTTCTCTCTCTCTCTCTCTCTCTCTCTCTCTCTCTCTCTCTCTCTTTATTTTTTACTCTTCATTTAATTTTAGTTTTCAACATTCACTTCTATAAGCTTTTGAGTTTTAAATTTTCTCTCTCTCCCTCCCCCCTCCCTCCCCAAGACGGCATGCAGTCTGATATAGGCTCTATAAATACATTCCTATTAAACTTATTTTCATATTAGTTATATTGTAAAGAAGAATTAGAATCAATAGTAGGAACCACAAGAAAGAAGAAACAAAACAAAACAAGACAAAAAAAAAGAGCAGATGGCAGAAAATAGTATGCTTCTATCTGCACTCCAGCTCCATAGTTGTTTCTCTGGATGTGGATAGCATTTTCCATCATGAGACTTTTGGAGATGTCTTGGATCCTTGCATTGCTGAGAGCTAAGTTTATCAAAGTTAGTCATCACACAACGTGGCTATTACTGCGTACAACATTCTCCTGGTTCTGCTCACTTCACTCAGCATCAGTCCATACAAGTCTTTCCAGGTTTTTCTAAAGTCCATGTGTTCATAATTTCTTACAGCACAATAGTATTCCGTTATATTCATATACTACAACTTGTTCAGCCATTCCCCAGTTGGTGGGCATCCCCTCAATTTTCCATTCTTTGCCACCACAGAAAGAGCTGCTATAAATATTTTTGTACATGTGGGTCCTTTTCCCATTTTTATGATCTTTTTGGGATACAGACCTAGAAGTGGTATTACTGGGTCAAAAGGTATAGGCAGGTCTCTTTTAAGTGCTCATAGATCTTATTTAGGAGGCCCTATAGTAGGGCTTCTTAACTTGATATCTAAGAACTTTTTAAAAAGTATCTTGGTAAATATTTTTCAATATAATTGTTCTTCTTTCAAATACTACTTTATTTTGTGCATTTAAAACACTATTCTGTAGGCTCCACGAGACTTCCAGGGGGTCTATGACAAAAAAGATTAAGAATCCTTGCCTTATAGTGTTCTGGGTCTTAATGAAATCAGCATGATGTCACCTGCAAACAGGGACATGTGGTGGATCTCACCATATATTGTGAACCCCTCTTTAATTTTTACTCTGCAAGATTTTCTTAATGACAGTTAAGACCTTTGCCAAGCATATCCTTGCTTGTTATTGATGTATCAAAGTTGATCATTAAAGTGTTATTTCTGTTAGTACCAAGGAATCTTGGGTGCTCTTAACATGTGCTTTGGAGGAAACCTTGTTAGAGGACAACCTTTAAGATATTGCTTTCCTGAGCTGAATAAAATGCTTCTTTATATTTGATAAGCACATCCAAGAGGAGAAGGGAACTGACATTTATTAAGCACCTGCTATGTGCCAGGCACTGTGCTAATAAATTATCACATTACAGATATCTCCTTTAATCCATAGAATCTTGAATTCCTTATACCCTTCACTTATTTCTGTGACTGAAGATATATGCCATGGAAAATAAATGGTAAAAGTGGTTCTGTTTTCCCTTTCTCTTCAAGGATAATGAATGTATAAATCATTCCCCTAAGAAATTTAGGTAGATAGAAAAGTAGGCATATGGATCAGTAGATACAAGTGTTTTCTTGATTGTTTTTTGGGGAAAGTAATAATGTTATGTGATTTCCACCCCAACCCCCCAGTCATGTGGAGTCTTATTTTTTTAAGATATCTGGAAATATATTCCTTTAATACTTGAAAAGTTATATTGCATCTAGAATAGGTTTCTTTGTATACTTAATCTGCTCCAACTTCTTTTTCTATCTGTAGTGCCCATCCTGCTCCTTCATATAGTAAGTACATTAAGAAATGAGGTATTAATAGTCCATACGGGAGTGGTTCCACCTTCATTTATGATTAAAGTAGATCAGAGAAGATATGTTAGCCAATCTGTACTGTTTTCCATCTATTTATTCCCTTTCTGTTTGCATCTTTACATGTTTAGGGGATAACTTATCCTAGTTGAGTTCCTTGCTAAGCTTTCTACAGACTCATTTTTCTCCCTTCCTCCCTTCCTCCCTTCCTCCCTTCCTCCCTTCCTCCCTTCCTCCCTTCCTCCTTCCTCCCTCCCTTCCTCCCTTTTCTTTTCCTCCTCCCTCCCTCCTTTTTCCCTCCCAGCAAACAGAAATTGGAGCCTTCTTCCCTTCCTCCCTTCCTCCTCCCTCCTTTTCCTAAAAAACAGGAGAATTTGTACAGCTTGACTGGAAAAACATGTAAGAGTTAATGAGTTGATATTATGTGACCAGAAAAGACTAGACATTTTTCTGTTGTCTCCATAATTAAAATTATAGTAAAAAAATAATATTTCCAATTACCAGAAAATATTTTGTCTTTGCATTCTGAGTTCTTCACCTCTCTATTAAGAGTTGAGTACATGTTTCATTAATAATTCTTTAGAATCCTGTTTGATCATTATACTGTAACAGTTTGGCACAGTAATATTCTATCATATATAACCATAACCTGGTCATCTGTTTCTCAATTTATGGGTACTCCCTCAGATTCCCATTGTTTGCCACTGCGAAAAGAGCCATAAATATTTTTGTGCGGTCTTAGAGTCTGTTTTCCTTGTGATTCATTGACGCTGCGTGTGGGCCCCCCTCCCCCCCTGCCTGCGATCTACCCTCCCTTTCATGAGTAGAAATGGATTTTTTTTTCTGTTTTCCTATTGAGTGAAATGAATTTTTGTGCCCAACTCTGTGTGTGTGTGTGTGTGTGTGTGTGTGTGTGTGTGTGTGTGTGTGTGTGTGTGTGTATTTCTTTTGGCCAATACAGATAAGAGTGAGTGTCAGTTACTCTCTCCCACCTGCTCCTTGTTTGTATAGATATCTACCTGTATACCCTCATTATGTGAGAGTTTCCTTAACCTTCCTTTCCCTTCTTCCCTAGTGAATTCCTCTTCCCCTTTTTTTCCATTCTTAAGATTATCAAGCTGTAACAAAAGCATTCCAAGGTCTTTGGACTTCCCCTGTGAGCCCTGATGATGATGAGGGTACACATGTATCATCTCCCCATATTTAAATAGAAACAGTTTATCCTTGTGTAGTCTTTTATCATTGTTCATTCATGTTTGCCTTTTTATATTTCTCATACTTGTCTCCAATCTTGTGTTTGAACAAAAAATTTTCCTCAAAGCTTTGGTATTTTTATCAGAAATGCTTAGAAGTCCTCTGTATCATTAAAAGTTAAGTTTTCCCCCTGTAGTATTATATTCAGTTTTGCCAAGTAAGTTATTCTTGGCTGTAAATCCATATCCTTTGCCTTTTGAAATATTGTATTCTAGGTTTCCCACTTGATGGCTACCAAATCATGTGTGATCTTCACTCTGGTGCCTTGGTGCTTTATTTCTTTCTTTCTGGTCACTGAGTATATTTTCTTTGACCTGGAAGCTGAGGATTTTGGCTTTGATGTTCCTCGGAGTTCTCATTTTGGGGTTTCTTTTAGGAGGTGACTGGTGGATCTTTTTACTTCCACTTAGCCCTCGTTCTAAGAGCTCTGGGTAGTTCCCTGTTAAGATTTCTTGAAGTAGAATGTCTAGGCTCTTTTTTTGGTCGTGGTATTCAGATAGTCTTAAAATCTTAAATTATTTTTCCTTGAACTGTTTTCTAGATCATTTGTTTTTACTATGACATACTTTACATTTCTTTCTTTCTTTCTTTCTTTCTTTCTTTCTTTTTTTTCCATCCATTTGACCTGTTTTAATATTTCTTGTTGAAATTTTCAGAGAGTTTGTTGGTTGGCCAGGGTGTTTTTTTTTTTAATCTCTTATGCCAAGCTGTTAATTCCCTTGTGATTCTTTCTTCCATATCTGTTATGAAAAATATTTAGAACTCTTTTTTAAAAACTCTTTCTTAATCATTCTCTTTAAATTTTATACTCTTCTACCATCTTCCTTTATAGCACTTTACAGGCGAGTCTGTATTTTAAGTTAGTGTTGCCTCTGACTGCCCTGTGCCTCTGCCTTGCATTTCTATCAGTAAACATTGTCTTCTGTGTATCTGACTGTACTTGGGAGTGGAGGTAGAAAGATAGAAATGAAATAGTCTCTTCATTCAGTGAACTTACATTCTATTT